ATTATTTTAACGATTTCATCATGATTCAATTCCGTTTGATTTGACTCTTGATACTGTATATTTGAAGGTGACTGTTTGTTATCTGCAATTGGTTCCTGTAAATTCTCTGTATGCTGAATGAGTGAGGCTGTGGTTTACTGTAACCATTTAACCTACTTGCATTAATAAGACTTTTTTTCACTTCCCTCAATTTTTATCAAGCAGTTTATATGTATTGTTTGGTCCTATTTCTATGATCTCATATGGAGCTTTGTATTTTAGTGTAAGCTTCTTTGATAGCCCCGTTTCTGTTTGCTCAATTTTAAGCATGACTTCTTGACCTAGTCTATTACTAATTTGCTTAGCAGTGTTGTCATGGCGCTCTTTTTGTTTGACTTGAGCTGCTAGCCTATTGCTTTTAACTGTTAAATGCAACTGAGCAATGAAGTTCATCATATACTCAACATTTGAGGGTAATTAAACATGGTTAATAATCATAATGAATGGCTGCAAATATATTTTAATTTTGCACTTGAGCTGTTCTGCCTTTATTTAGAATTTATGGTGCAAATTCTTGCACTGATTGTAACGGCCTTGTTTCATTAAAAAGAGGTCAGCAAGAGCATGTGGGCGTATTAATTGATTAGCAAAGCGTTTCAAAAATTGAGAATTACGTTCCACATAATTGGATTTAACAGAATCTCGCAGAGCCAAAATCCAGTCTGCTGCTGTGCCTTTTAAAAACTAAATGAAGAATTATGTAAGTTCAGGGTCCAAGTGTCGCATAAACCTTCCCAGGATCAAGCTTGTTTAATAACTCAATTTCAATAGTCGGCTCACTTTTTCTTCCTGTCTGTTCCTGCGGCATTACTTTTTATTCTGCTTGGATCCCTTCTGTCGAACTTCCTTGTTGACTAGAACGCAATGACGGTGTCCAATATTAATTCCTGTTGACTTTGATTGTGGCATGTGATCACCTATTCCACCAGCTTTCAAAGGGGTCTACGGTGTGATTCGGACCCTCTGGTTGACTCACTGGAGTTTGATTACAGTGTTCTGTCTTTCTACTTGAATTTAAAGATTCTTCTACATTCAATAAACAGTAAAACTGCTGAGCAACAATGCTTTTGATATCTTATTTTAACAAATGACAAAGTTTCTGTCCATAGAATTGTTAGACTATAAAGTTACATAAGAACACTTACGTTACTACTTTCATAATTATAACATACATGAATTCTTTTTAAATATATCAAAGATATGTATCAAATATCGTGTCACTATTGTTTAGCATATTTTGTGATTTGACTGTAACTATAAAAAGATTACAAAGGTATGATAATAAGCTATACGTTTCAATTAAATAATATAAATTATTTACCAGTAATTTAAAGATTCCTCTCCACTCACCAAACAAGTAACAGCATTTATGCTTCTAAAATGTGTGTGGGGAGATCAAAACAGAAGGCTCTCTATTTCTACTGTATACCCAAAATCTTGGCAGACGCGTTATGTTTATCAAGTATTTGGTCAGAAGAATGAAATGTACAAAAAATTGATTAATTTACATCATTTTCAGTCTGGCTTCACCCTTACCATCACAAGTATCTAAACATTACTTAACTTATAGTATAATCAATTGCCTTTTATTTGATTTGTAAATTGTCCTGTCTGGTTATAAAGCTAAGTGAATATACATGGTAAAGCTAAGTGTATATACGTGGTTAATAAGTGACATTATACATAACAATTTAATATGATTCCACAAAATAATAATATGATTCTACAAGCTTGTGCTAGTATATCATCTCTGTGACAGGAGTCACAATTTTCTATTTTTTATTTACAAAGAAACTGGGTCACAATTATCGATATTTTCTAAAACATATATATCTTAAACTGCAAAAGATGAAGTAAAAAGTAGAACATGGGGTCAAAAACTGTAACTCCGTTTATTGTTCCTGTCTTAGGTAAAATATGGCTAAGGATCTGTAACTTTTTTTCTTATAGGTATTTACTTTAGTATTTTAACAAGCATAATATGCATACATAGTAACATACGGAAAAATATGACAATTTTGAAAAAAAAATACTTATGTTCAATAAATGGTTAACAAGATATAACAGTTATAAGGAAATATCTGTTGTTCTTTCTTATATAAAATTATGTATTAATAATGTCGTCAGCATAATAAGTAATAAATGAGAAACTCATGAGATTGGGGTAAGCAATGACATAAATAAATGTGCAGATATTGAAACAACTAATGGCTTCTTCATTGTGTCACTCACAAAAATATTAAATTACATATAGATCACACGGTTATTTTATTTATTTTTCTATTTTTTCACATAATTATTTGTAAGATCTTAATATTAAATTTCGTTGGCTTAATTCTACAAACCCGTATGTCATTTTTTGTCATTTTTAGAAAATCGCATTTGAAAGTTTGAACTGCAATAACTTTTTAATGATAAACCGTATAAAGATAGAGTTTTCTGTGAATTAAGGAATCTGTATGATATACATATATACCAAATTGTATTACTGTGCATACAATTTTAAAGCTTAAATCTCTAATAAATTATTTCAATTTTTCATAATAAATAAGAAAACACATACATATTCTGATTCTCAAACCACATTCAGGAGATACTGGGTTATAAGCAACACATTCAGGTCATTTCTACACCATTAAAGCGACATACGGGGTTCTTAGTGAAACATTTGAAGCAAAATTGAATAAGTGTAATAATATTCGGCTAGAAACATAGCAACACTTCAAGTAAAAATATCATTAACTTCTCCTACTGTGTAAAATATTACATGTTTGTTTGGAATATATACAAAATCAATGCTACTATCAAATGATATTTACATCAATTTCTCAAAAGTATGCACTTGTTATCAACCGTTGGTATCCGACGATGCGCTTCTGCCACATACCTATGTTGCTATAATGTTTCGATTTTTGATTAAAAGTGTACATCAAGTAGATGCTTTTCGTGCTTTAGAAAACAGCGTTGAACCTGAAACAATTTGTCCTGATAGCATCTAGATGTAGACAAAGTGGTATTTTGTCTTCCATTCAAGAATATCTAATAACTATGACTTCATATCAAAATGCAAATACAAAAACGGGTTCAGCTATATAGCCGATGACTAGCCTTAGAAAAAATGTAAAAACTTGAATATAAGATACTTTAGGGAAACAATAAAAAATAGTACTCATAGAGGCCGTCCGAAATAGTATTCATCCGAATGAATGTAGTATTTACATATTTATCTATTCAAGACATCTACTATATAATTCAAAATTGTGCTAGAGCTATAAAAACTTAATCAATATACGAATATATCTTACAATCAGGTAATATACTATAATTATCTTTAAATAAATCACTAAAGGTTTTTGAAATATTTGGTTGTGATAAATTAGGCAGCCATTACAGATGTGTATTGTATCACACGGTACAAAATCAGAATGTTTGATTGGACAAGAAGTTATTGGAGTCAAGAATTAAAGTTTGATGTAAATAAGCGAGTTACGGGTTTGTGGAATTGGAAATAAACATATTTATGTTAGTTCTACAACTACTTTAGTATGTTCACTGTGAAGATCTCACTGAGACGAAAAAAAATGATATAAAAATCTCAATTTTGCCAAAAATCGAGTAACGGGGTTGTAGAATTAAGCCGACATAATGCTCATATCATATCTTTCATATTATATTATTATGGTGCCAGTCTGTAGAATGAAAAAAAGGGATTGTGGATGCATCCTATCTTGTGGACACATTTCTAGTTTTTTCAAGATACATTTCCTAACACATAGTATTAAAAAATGTTTAAACTTCTACAAAAATCTGGAAACTACAGTGATCCCTCGGAAGAATTAAATATATTTTACCCACAAAACATTCTATGTCGATGTTTTATAACTCTTACCAAGATTATGACCACTTGAATGGCCCAGCTCCAAGTGAAATTATTTCACGCATATGATGTAGTTGGTCTTACTTTTCTTTAAAGTCATTGCGATGAGTTATTGTTCATTTTAAATTTCTATCGTTATCTTTTAAATCGTTTTATTCCTTAAAAATTACTTGATACGAATATTTATTACTCTTCCTTAGAATTCAAGAGTATTTTATTTCAGCCATGTCATTGCATTGTAAAATAGTTGTCAATGCAATCAAACATGTGACTTCTTGAAAGATTTTATGTTTCTCTTCATCAAAAGAATGTTTCCTCTCCTATAAAAATTGATACATGACTAAGTGTTAAAGGCCCATTATGCCTCAGAACTTCTTTTTTACAAAGGGCAAATATGAGTTTTCTAACGTTTAAGTAAAGGTTTTAGAGGATGTTAATACTAATCACCCGATGAGAGAATATCTGAATGTAAATTCTCCGTCATAAAAGTAGAAAATATAAACGAAGTAGTATTTAGATTTCCGTACAAAATACTTAATCACTGTAATTGTAAATGTTGTCAATAAGCAACATAAGTAAAAGATGGTACATACAAATCGTCAATGAGTAACAATTTGGAAATAATAACTTGACATCAAAAATAAAAAGCTTTTAGGAAATAAAGATAAAAGCATTTCAGAGGCACAATGGAACTTAAAAATTTATGCAAACAGAGGATAATAGTCTTGACAATGTATCGTGGAATTATTAAAGATATTATAACCTACTGTAGTGATATGAAATTAAGTTATCATTCATCATAAACAATAGAGTTTATCTTAATCTACAACATGTATTTGTTTCTACAAGCCTGTCTAGGTTTTTCTTAAACACACTGTGCTTAATGCATTAATACGAAAGAAGAATATAAGTATAAACATGAAGTATAGAGTTTAAGCTGATAAAGTATAGACGTTATAACGGTATAAACTACTCCATTTATGTATTCATCGATCACACATACGAAAGACAGTAGCTTATAGATCTACACGATCTTGTAGTTTTGAAGCAATGAAAATTGCATTATAAATTATTTATTTGTTACCTTTGCGGTAGACCAGTTCACTGACGCACGTTTGAATATATAACAACGACCACTTGACAAGCTCCAACCACTAGGACATGATTCTACAACGAGGAGGGAAACAAATCTTAAGATTAGTGTTTAATATTTATTTGCCCTATTTGTATCAGATTTTTGAACATTCTTATTGAACACTTGCATTGTAAAATGTTTCCTACATTTGAAGATAATTACACGATTTCATGCTACTAAATGACGATCAGCCGCTATTTTCATGCAAGAAAAAATTCTTGAACATATCAATTCATATCAAATGTATTTAACATTTCTGACGTTTTTCATTACAGGCAGGGGAATACTAAGAGTAACCATAAATACATATGTAAAATAAAAGGCAAATTTTGTTTTTCAATCTTTGAACAAAGAAGTCACTCAAAGGTACACCGCAACCTCCCTGTCTATGTCTCTCTCTATCTTGCTCGGCCTTGTTTAGCAAACTAGTTGGCTCATTGATGTATAATTTAATACCAAAATACCATTCGGTGTATTATTTGTTACTGAGGATTTCTTTCATGTAATGTCCGTAAATCAGATAATTAATTGCTGTAGACTTTATAATAATACTTACGCTCACATCTCTTTCCTGCAAATTGGCTAGTACAGGTACATGCATAACTGCCAGATTGACTTGTGCACGTGCCTCCGTTCTTGCAAGAGCTTTCTATGCAGGGATCATCTGTGATGGGTAATATAAGAAAAAAACCACCATGTTTTTCAGATAATGAAACAAACGTTTATTTGGCACTTTTTTGCATATTTAAATGATCGAAGACTTGTTACGAAATACATATTACGAGATACCGGTGACATGACGTCACTTCGATAATATAACTTCACATTAATGCTTTGTTATATATGTTTTTACACGTTCATATTATTATATGTTTTTATGTGTTATATAACCGTATTTATCACATGATGCCTTCTTGTTTATAATCACAATACATAATGATGACCCTTTGATGTTAAGCCTAGACATGCTTTTTCCTAAAAATGTTCAGATAGTAAGACAATCAATCTATATGGTTAATATATAACTGAAAGATTGACGGATGATTACGCATACAAATTGTAGTATTGGATAAAAGCAGCTTGGTTGTGTTACAGCAGTTAAAAGAAAGTGTATAGGTTTTAGTCATATTTAAGTAATTTTTAACAATTAGCAAATTGATCACAATGCTTTTTTGAAACAAATTTGTATTGCTATAAACATGGTATAGAAAGCTTAAACAAATCAAACATATTGATACCGGAAGAAAGCATTTTTAAATTTAACGTATGTATCGAGATTTTATATGCCGCTTGATGATCTTAAATCTGCAAAAGTTGTTCCCCTTTATAAAAAGAACGACAAATTGTCTGTTTGTTATTACCGGCCTGTGTCCATCTTAAATGTTGTATCTTTAATCATTGAAAAGGTGGTTTATGACCAGGTTTAAGCTTATCTTAAGGATAAAGATCTGCTGTATAAATTTCAATCAGGTTTCAGGGGTGGCTTCTCTACTGATACTTGTCTGATTCACCTTACAGACTTTATCAGGTATGAAAACGATAAAGGTAATGTTGTTGGTATGGTGCTGCTGGATTTGCAGAAAGCGTTTGACACAGTCGACCATTTCATTCTTTTAATGAAACTGCAAGCATCAGGTATTAGTATTGACGTCCTAAATTGGTTCAAATCATACTTATCAGATAGAAGCAGCTTGTAGATGTCTCTGGTACTTATTCTTCCAATTCCAAATGAACATGTTGTGTTCATCAAGGCTCAATCATTGGACCCCTTCTCTTTTAAATTTATGTAAATGATATGCCAGCTGTGGTCAAATAAATATCCTTTATATCCTGATTTTGGTATCCTTGTATCTGGTAAAAGTTTATCTGTTGTTTAAAAGGCATTGACAGATGATATGGAATTGGTCAGCCAATGGTTAGTGGACAATAAGTTGTCATTGCACTTGGGTAAAACCGAGTCAATTTTATTTGGGTCCAGGCTAAAACTTAGGTCACAATTTAACCTGCATATAACCTGTTCTGGTATATCCATTGAATCAATTTCATCTATCAAGTATCTTGGGATTACTATAGACCAAAATATGTCATTTTGCTCCATGGCGGAGTCTGTTCTTAAGAAGGCCAACTGTCGGTAAAATTTCTTTACCGCAAGAAAGAGTTTCATACTCAGCATACCAAGAAACTTCTGGTAATGTCTCTTATTCAGTGTCACTATGATTATGCATGCTCTGTTTGGTATAAAAGCTTGACACAGTCTTTAAAAAATAAGTTACAAATTTGTCAATAAAATAATGAGATTAGTACTTGACTTGGATTCCAGAGCCCATATTGACCCATCCCACTTTAAGTCCCTTAGCTGGTTACCGGTCCACAGAAGAGTTGAACAGATAATGTTGTGTCATGTTTTTAAGATAAAAAACGGCCTGTCTCCGGATAAAATGTCTGAGCACTTTATTTCGCAAGATTTCGTACATAATAATAGTACAAGACTTAGTCAAAAGGGTGGGCATTGTCTACCTAAGGTCAAAGGTCATGGTTCTTAATCCATTGCTTTTTCTGGAACTAAATTATGGAATGAGTTACCTGTAGAGTTAACGGAGATTTAGTTCCAGAAAAAGCAATGGATTAAGAACCATGACCTTTGACCTTAGGTAGACAATCTACCTAAGGTCAAAGGTCATGGTTCTTAATCCATTGCTTTTTCTGGAACTAAATTATGGAATGATTTACCTGTAGAGTTAACGGAGATCAACAGGTTACAAAGTTTTAAGGATGCCATCAAAGGTCATCTTTTGAATAGTATTTGATTTTATTTTTTTACTATGTTTTTACATATTTCGGCTCAGGATTTTAAATTGTCTGCTAATTATCTTTTTACAATTTTAGAAATGTGTTTTAAATCCTAGCTGTAAACAGGAGTGTCATTAACTCAAGATATGACTGTGATTTACATTTGTTATAGTGGCAGTTTTAAATAAGATTCGTTCGGACTTATAGCGATCACAATTTGGCCGTTATAAGGAACATATATTCTGTGGGTTTGTAGTTGGGATGTAAATATAGTCAAGACAATTTTATGAATTAACCAATTTATTAAGGCCAATGTATTTCAACACTATCTATATTTATTTACAAGACAATTAATCAAATTATTTAAAGAAAAGATTTTCTAAATAATTGGCTAAATTGTATTGATTGACAAGGCAGTCGACTTAAATTTACACTTTGTAGTGTTTGATTCAAGACAGAAGTCTTTAGTTAAATTTCAAGGCTTGAGCCTTATTGTACTGACCAAAGTGGTGCAGCACCCAACTACGTGTCAATAGTTAAGCTCGGCAATTTATTCATTCGACAAACAATAGAATTACAATTGATTGGATAACGATAAGTAATAAAATATAGAAACCGATTCGTTAATTATTATCAATATTAATATTGACCAATCAAATCACTTCTTTTATTTAACGCTTGGTAAGCGATAGAAAATGGATGCCTCCATGAAGGAAAATATGAGAACGAATTATAAAGTAATTTGTAGAAAAGTAAGTTAATAAAAAGTCATTCTATTACACATTTTTATGATTTATTAGTATTTCAAACATGATTATATTTAGGTCTGCCTCTCTATGTCATGCCGCCAATACAAAGAACCACAATGAAAATAAGAGCTTTTTTGCCATTTTTTGTGTTATCCTTGGTGTTGGTGAGTATGTCATAGTTTTCTCGTATGTGATATAGTATTTATTAATGCTGATTATTTTATCCTATGTTATGTTGTCAACTATGTATTTGCTTCCTATGCCGTGGATAACGATAAGTAATAAAATATAGAAACCGATTCGTTAATTACTATCAATATTAATATTGACCAATCAAATCACTTCTTTTATTTAACGCTTGGTAAGCGATGCAAAATGGATGCCTCCATGAAGGAAAATATGAGAACGAATTATAAAGTAATTTGTAGAAAAGTAAGTTAATAAAAAGTCATCCTATTACACATTTTTATGATTTATTAGTATTTAAAACATGATTTTATTTAGGTCTGCCTCTCTATGTCATGCCGCCAATACAAAGAACATCAATGAAAATAAGAGCTTTTTTTGCCATTTTTTGTGTTATCCTTGGTGTTGGTGAGCATGTCATAGTTTTCTCGTATGTGATATAGTATTTATTAATGCTGATTATTTTATCCTATGTTATGTTGTCAACTATGTTTTTGCTTCCTATGCCGTAATAAATCTATCTAAATCTTTCTATCTAAAGTTTAAACCTTTATCTGGTGTCGAAGTTAATGAAAGTTAACAGTGCAAGCAAGTTTTTTTATATTTTCAGCTTCTATTTAAGTATTTTTACAATTTAAAGTATCGTATATGCCCAAATACTTCTTATTAAAACTGAATTATAATATAAATAATTGGAAAGTTCGGATTTTGTTTAATTGATTTTTTTCTGAATCTAATTTAAGAATGTGTTAAAAATAGATATGAACTATGCACAGCGGTTAGATTACTTGATGAAACAAAAAATGAAATTCCAATGTTTATTACTTCAAACTGGATATAACTCTGATATACTTTCAAATAACTTTGTGTATCAGTCGTTGTGTGTATATAAACATTCTCTGCAAAATAAATGTCTGTAATAAGCCAGACATTAAGTAAAACAAAACCCGTCAAGACCGTGGCATCCAGACAGAGCCAAACATGAGGCCATAATATCCGTTTGAGTATCAGTGAAATATTCAACATTTAAATGTTACATCTTAATGAACACACTATTGATATTCACATCTTATTTAAAAAGGTAACGAAGAGGTATGGAAACCTTTACATTTTTATTCTCAAACTGTGCACGAGGTATTTTCTCTTGGCTAGAAGTGACTGTCTTTAAAAAAGTTGTCATATTTAACACTTATATATGACATCCTTTTATTTAATAGCTAACACCGCTAAATTATTACAGCTAATGCAGCTAATAGTAATAAAAGACTGTTTCCTTTCCTTTTTTTAACTGTCTCCCAAAATATGAACATCAAAATCAATACATTCTAAATTCACTCACTTGAAATATATGAAAGATAACTTAAATGAAATATGTATTTTAGAAAATCTCCAAAAACATCTATGTTGATACATGTATCAAAATTTACAAACAAGTGTATTTGTTGTTACACATTATGATGTTAAAAGTTAGGAATGAAGAAATCACTTACTACAATTATGTTCATCTTCACCAAAAGGACAGTCTCTATGACCATCACACAAAGACCATAGCTTTTATACATTAGAAGAAATGGCCAGGACAAAAATAAAGTATGAAAATTAACAAAGGGCAATAATTCAAATAATAAGAAATGCAGAGTACCGGTTCTTGTGCAATGCACTTGTCCGTAATAAATTCAATCATCCTAAGAAGTTTCATGTTCCATTTTAGGAGAAATGGCCTGGACAAAAATAAAGTATGAAATAAGAAATACGGAGTACCGGTTCTTGTGCACTGCACTTCTTCTTATTGAGATCCATCATCCTATGAAGTTTCAAGTCCATAGCTTTTATACTTTAGGAGAAATGGCCTAGACTAAAATAAAGTATGAAAATTAACAAAGGGCAATAACTCAAAAATCAAGAGCTGCAGAGTACCGATTCTTGTACACTGCACTTTGAGTCATTATAAGAAGCATGTATACCAAGTTTGAAGTCAATCCGACTTGTAATGACTGACTTATGCATTGCATTCATATTGTCGCATTAGGACGTAACTGAAAATAACAAAAAACAATATTTAAAATAAAAAAACTCAAAGCAGAATCCCTAAAGAAAGCCCAACACAACAAAAAATTGAAATGTTGCAGGCTTGGTTTGATTGACCTTGTTGGGCCGTACACGTCCACTAGCACCGGCTTATGCATAATTCAACATTTAACATGGACATAACTTGTCTTTTCCTTAACCTTGATTGAGATTGATTCATATCACATTAGTAACACCTTTAAACATTGTTAACGTGAATGATACTCTTTATCTTACTTGAAAGAGGACGTTCACAGAAATAGTTTATTGTACTTTTGCAGTTGTAGTCATTCCATTTTTCAGTAGGAGGTGCTATTGCAACACAATCTTCTTCTTTCGATTCTGCGCCGCCATTATTCGGTTCATTTGTGTCCCAATTTGTATATGTGGCAAGTTGTTGCGAGCCCTCCCATTTGAATGTATTTTCCGATTCAGCATCACCTAATCCGATCCAAGCTCCTTTATATTGTTTAAAAGAACATAACACCTTCTGTTATACATTTGTAGTTCTTGTAACATATGCGACGGAATATATAAACTGATTGAATCGATTGATTAAGGCACATTATGCCCCAAAAACAAATTTTACATTTTTAGAAAGGGCAAATATGATTTTATATATCTAATATAAAATAATGATTTAAGAGAGTGTTAGATGTTCGTAACCTGAATTAAGTAGCAATAAATGTAATATAATTTGTCATAAGAGGATCTAAATGTAAACAAATTAGAGAAATAAGAACCCCTAAAGAAAGTCAAAAACGGCAAAATTGAAAATGTTGCAGGCTACGTTTGATTGAGCATGTTCATGAAAGGTACTGCCAACCGCAAACTATCGTCCGCGTTCCCTAGAACCGGCTTAACCAGAATTCAACATTTAAAAATGAAATGGAAAAAAATTATGAATATAGAGAAATAGAGAAAGTTAGACTCCTTAAAGAAAGTCCAAAAACGGAAAAACATGAGAATGTTGCAGGCTCGGTTTGATTGAGCCTGTTCATGAACAGTTCTATCAAATGCAAACTACCAATAGTATATTTACTTCCGTATTAAATACTAATACCAATGTACTTATTGCCAAAAAGCAACAAATGAAAAAAAGATTGTTCCAGTAATAAGCCAATGAGTAGATTTGTAGATACAATAAGAGTACACGAAAATTATAAAAGCTTTTGAGAAATAACAATAAAGCATTTCAGAGGCATAATGGGTAAGGTTAGGTATGTCAATCATCTAGCCTTAATTTTAAAGCTTATTTTTCTGATTGTATACTACAGTTTTAATATCGAAACTTTGATTAAAATACTGAAACTAAATTAACAAAAACCACCACTTAGCGGTGCCCATGCTTTTTAAAGCTAAACACACCGGAAAATAGAAAGGGTAGTATGTAAAAGAATCCATTTAAATAGTTCATCACAGTAATTAGCTTATCACAAATTGATCAATATAATTAGTGAGCAAAACGTATTTACTTTACATCCTAGAGGTCATTTGTCAACAACTTTTTAAATTAAATCGTATGCACTGTTAGTTATGAAGATATATTTTCTTTATAATGTATAATTATTCTGAGTTATCACCTCACCGTTTCCACCCATCAATATCCATCGGAACCATCTCCCTCGGGCAAGGGCAAGAGGCAAGTCTTTGCTGTATTCCATGGCGACTTGCGCAAGATAAAATAAGAGTACACGAAAATTAAAAAAAGCTTTTGAAAAAATAACAATAAAAGCATTTCTGAGGCATAATGGGTAAGGTAAGGTGTGTCAATCATCCAGCCTTAATTTTAAAGCTTATTTTACTGATTGTATACTACAGTTTTTATATCGAAACTTTGATTAAAATACTGAAACTAAATTAACAAAAACCACCACGTAGCGGTGCCCATGCTTTTTAAAGTTAAACAACCCGGGAAATATGAAAGGGTAGTATGTAAAAGAATTCATTTAAATAGTTCATCACAGTAATTAGCTTATTACAAATTGATCAATACAAATAGTGAGCAAAACGTATTTACTTACATCCTAGAAGTCATTTGTCAACAACTTTTTAAATTAAATCGTACGCACTTGAGTTATGTAGATATATTTTCGTTATAATGTATAATGTTATCACCTCACCTGTGTTTACCATCAATGTGTAGAGATAGTTGTTGACGGCTTCGCTGTCGACTTGAGCAAGAGTCCCACCCTCAAGGGAGCATTTCATCTAGAAAATAAAAAATTGAAAATAAATACATCAATAAATGTTTAGGTAAATATCATATATTATAAACGAAATATTGTTTCCAGTATGTCACAATCAATTAACCGTCATGTTAAACATATAACATGCAACAGGAACTTCACACAAATGCCTTGCTTGTTGACGTCATTACAGACAAAAATGTTTATGCCAACACACTCAAGATATACTATGCTCATATGTATAACATATTTAAATAACAGAAATTAATTGAATTTTATAAAATTCTTACTTAATATGTCTAATTTGAATAAAATAATGAATAAACTATGTATGGCACCCTTTCTATTTGTGTATCCTTTAGATCCTAGTATTTGGAACAAGAAATTAACAAAAGGCAATCACTCAAAAAATTTAAAAAAAATTGTCATCCTTGTGCACTGTACATAAAGAGTTTCAAGTTGATATATTAAATAAAGCAAATGAAAAAATGCAAACATATTTAAAGCATATATAAACATAAATTAAACAGTCGTTGATCTATATACAGTTTCACGACATATATGGAAAATATAATGTAAAGAAAGCAGGTTTTATTATTTATAACTCAAATTAAATATCAAGTATTCTAAACTTGTTTTTATTATCTACCATAACATAATCTGACATTTTCTGTTTGTGTTCTGATTATACTGACCAAAAGGCGATGGTGCGATGGTGAAAACGCGATGGTATGATGGTGAAAGCGCGATACTACGGTAATGAAAGCGCGATGGTACGATGGTGGAAAAGCGATGGCACGATCGTAAAGGCGCGAAAGTACGATGGTGAAAAGGCGATGGCACGATGGCGAAAACGCGATGGCACGATGATGAAAACACGATGAAGCAATGGTGCGATGATACGATGGTGAAAACGCGATGGTACGATGGTAAAATCTCGATAGTACGATGGTTAAAACGTGATGTAATATCGCGTTTTCACCATCGTACAATCGCGCTATCCCGATTTCACCATTTAACCATCGCGTTTTCATCATCGTAACATCGTGTTTCACCATCGTACCATCGTGCCATCGCGTTTTTCCCATCGTTCCATCGTGCATTACGGGTACAGACTAAATAAAAAGTCACGATTGTCAAAACGCAACAACATCCACTACAGATTTATATGTGACCACCTATTACTCGTAGAGTTTTCCTAATGGTATATTTTGTTTATGTGAAGTCACAATTTTTTATTGTATATTTTCAAGACACTGTGTAGCAATTATCGATATTTTCTGGAACATTTATCTTAGACTGCGAATGATAAAGTAAAACGCAGAACATGCAGCCAAAAAATGCAACTCCGTTTATTGTTCCCGTCATATGTAAAATATGGCTAAGGATCTACAATTTTTTACCTTATAAGTATTTACTTTAGTATTTGAACAACCATAATAATGCATACATGGTAACATACGGAAAAAATCCGACAATTTTGAAAGAATAATTGAAAATACTGATTTAATTAATGGTTAACAGTATATAATGTATATATATCAAATATCTGTTTTTGTTTCTTATATGAAAATGTTATATAAATTATGTCGTCAGCACAATAAGTAATACATGAAAACGCTTTCGGTAAGCAATGGCATAAATACATGTGCATATATCGAAAAAACTAATGGCTTCTTTATTGTGTCACTTTCAAATTATTAAATTACATAGAGGATATTTGTTTGATTTGCATGTACGATTGAAAATATAATTTCACTGAGTGAACACAAGATGCAATATTTTCACGAGTGGCGTAGCCACGAGTGAAAATATAATAGCTGGTGTTCACGAATGAAATATATTTCAATCTTATATGTAAAACAAATAAATGTTCTTTTTATTTCATGCTTTTAAGTGAGTTTAAGTATTTTGTACTGATTTTGCCGCGTAACGTCGCGCAATCTCCTTTGTGACGTCATCACATCATGACGTCTCATCATCAATTTTGAAATATAGTTCTGTCAAATTTCTTTAATTTTGTTACATTTTTAATATGATATATGGGGACATCGACTTTCTTTTCCTAAAGAAGCAAAATTTACGTATGACGGCATTTAAAATCGTTTTATTCTTTTAAAATTACTTGATACGAATATTTATTTCTTTTCCTTAGAATAAAAGAGTATTTTTATTTCAGCCAATTGTCCATGAAATCAAACATGTGACTTCTTGAAAGATTTTATGTTTCTCTTCATCAAAAGAATGATTCCTCTCCTATAATCATTGATACATTACTTAGTGTCTAAGGCTCATTATGCCTCAGAAACGATTTTTGTCCCTTCATTTTTAGAAAGAGTAAATATAATGGTTTTAGAGGCTGTTAAATGCTTATCATGATGACAGAATCTCTGAATGTAAAATCTCCGTCATAAAAGTGAAAATTATAAACAAAATAGTGTATTGATTTCCGTACAAAATACAAAATAACTGTAGTTGTTGTCAATAAGCAACATAAGCAAAAGATGTTGCAATGGGTAACATTTTGGAAACACTAACTTTACATCAAAAATAAAAAGCCTGAAGGAAATAAAGATAATAGCATTTCAGGGGCACATTGGTCCTTAAAATTTTATGCAAAAAGAAGATAATAGTCTTTGCAATGTTTCGTTTATATCAAATGAAATTATCAAAGATATGATAACCTAATGAAGTGATATGAAATTAACATATCATTCATCATAAACAATAGAGTTAATCTTAATCTATTTGATTCTACCAGCCTGTCCGGGTATTACTTAAACACACTGTGTTTAATGCATTAATACTAAAGAAAAATATTAGTATAGACGTAAAGTTTAGACTTCAAGCTGATATAGTATAGACTTTATTAACGGCATGTTTTTGCCACTCACATATACGAAAGACAGTAGCTAATACATATGCGCGATCCTGTAGTTTAGAAGCAAATAACATTGCCATATAGATTATTTATTTGTTACCTTTGCGGTAGACCAGTTCACTGACGCACGTTTGAATATATAACAACGACCACTTAACACGCTCCAACCACTAGGACATGATTCTACATTGAGGAGAAAAACAAATCATAAGATTAGTGTTTAATAACTATTTGCCCTATTTGTATCAGTTTTTTTTCTTAAATGTATTAGATTTTTGTTCATGCTTATTGAAAACTAGCATTGTAAAATGTTTCCTATATTTGAAGATAATTACACGATTCCATGTTACTAAAAGATTCCATGTTACTAAATGACGATCAGTCGCTATTTTCCCGCATGATAAAATTCTTCAAAATATTAATTAATATTGTGGGACCCATGATGTCATCACAAAGACAATAAATGATAAATTTTGATCAAATTTCTTATACAGTCCGAAACCAGCCCTATCCGAAAATATGGCATGCAAGCTGTCAGTCACAGAAATTTTATCGTAATTACTTGGTTCTACATTAAAGTACATGTTTAATTCAATCAATTACCGGTCATTGAAGATACCTGGGGTGTAATTGTACACTGTCAACATTTAGAAATTATGTTTTATCTGTGTAACTAATATTCATCACCCTTCGTAAGATTTGCGGGTGTCTTGGTTGAAATTGATGTAGTTTACGACATTCCGTTAGTTAAATACCCCTTCCGGGAATCGGTAAAGCTTATCATGCAGGCTATAAATATTATTTATACATTGTCTATTGTTACTTTTGCTATATATAAGTAGGAAGATTTATTTTAGATACAGCGACATGGTATTTGAGTAATGTACATGCAATTTTAATTTAAATTATGCTAATTAAAGTTTTATTTAGGAATGGCGGAACAGCGACCTTCCAGTATTCAACGATTCCTGCAGAGCTTTCCTGCAATTCGAGCATCGTATGATATAAAAGCTCGAGCGCGCCCTTGATCGACCTCTTGCACCCCTAAAAATTGTTAGGGTTAATCCACGAGAGTGATTTCTAGAATTTTCAGACTTATTTTGTTGATTCTTGACTGTTTGTGTGACCGGATACAGACGAAAGTGAAAGTAAGGATGGTGTTCGATGTTTGGATTCACCAGTTGGAAGTTCCATGGTTCAGTTAAGTTGTTTCTTGTTCATTTTTATTTTGTTTTAGAAGAAGATGCTGACGGACGCTAAAGATTGCCGATGACCTTCATATTTTCTTAGAAGTTTTGGGACTATAGGGACTATTTTTTTGTGTAATGCGGCTGACCAATCAGAATTCAGGGTGTGGATGACGTTTGTTATTGTTTATATTTTGCACGTGTTATATTTTTTTATGAAGATAGAGAGAAGAATGTACATGCAGAAAGGAAAGAGTTGGACAAGAAGCCATTTTAGTCAAGAAATCTGTTACAGTTTGACAGTTCAGTTGATGTTCATGCTGAAAATTAGATAAAACTTCATAAGATGTATTATCTAAATATATATTAGGGTTTTTGGAATGAAAATCATTCATGGGTTATGCTCATGTTTCAGTCCTTCCTGTAATTTATAAGTCTACTTGAAAAATGTTATATTTGTTACTGAAATCAAGAAGAGATTTATGCTTGTGTTCCTGCTTAAAGTTGCTTTTAATATGTGAGCAGTGGTATATAAGTGTCTCACTTATCTCACTCTCACTATGTATGTCTCTGCATGGCTTTTATAGTAAGAGCAGTGGTGTATGAGTTTATATATCTCATCTCGCTCTCTTTGCATGTGCTTATGTTCGAGCAGTGATATATGAGTATTTTACTCATCACACTCTCATGTCTGCGCAGTTTATGCTTATCTATGTGCTTATATATATTTTATCCAGTATACTGATGACCTAGATCTTGACCAACATATATGAAGCTGATGTCTATAAGAAGTCACAGATTACAGACACAGATATAAACGATTTATGAAATTCATATGTACACATATTTTTGAAGATATTTTTCAATTATATTGTTGAAACTTAACATGATATGGCTATAATTTCATCCTTCATGGCCCTCATTTATCATATTTAGCCTATAAGGGTATCGGGGTCTGGCTCCATAAGCTTGATTGCTTAAGACGCCTTGCATGGACTAGGATTCGAACCATATTTGAAGTTATTTCTTAGTGCCGGCCCCACTAGACTCTGACAATGTATTTAACATTTCTGACGTTTTTTCATTACACGCAGGGGAATATTAAGAATATCCAGAAATACATATGTAAAATAAAAGGCATATTTAGTTTTTCAATCTTTGGACAAAGAAGTCACTCTCAAATGTACACCGCAACCTCCCTGTGCCTATCTCTCCCTTGTTTAGCAAACTAGTTGCCTCACTATTTTATAATTTAACACCAAAAGACCATTCGAAACATGGTGTATTATTGTAACCGAACATTTCTTTAGTGCTCGTCAATCAGATAATAAAATGTTTTATTTCTTATAATAATACTTACGCTCACATTTAGTTCCTGTAAATTGGCTAGAACAGATACATTTATAACTGCCAGAATAAAATGTGCAGGTGCCTCCGTTCTTGCAAGGGCTTTCCGTGCAGGGTTTATCCGTGATGGCTAATATTAGAAAAAAAAACCATGTTTTTCAGACAATTGTTTGTTACCACACTTGATTAAAATTCTACATATGTATATAATTATGCTTCTAAAACAAGTTTTAAACATCAAAGAATATAACAAATAATCCTTTTCATTTCAGTGTAACAGTTGGTTGATTCAGGAATAAATAAAGATTTCTGATGGTGTCTCAGTTAATTATATTCTATTGTTTGTAGGTTCCAATTAAAAAAGGGTGTGCTACAAAATACAAAAAACATAAATATGCTAAATAATAAAAGCAAAATAAAAAGCATACATAAGCAAGCACAAATAAACAAAAGCAAATTAATTGTAATTAATTTCATATTTAGATAAATGTTTAATTATGAAGTTATATTTAAAAATATAAAAACTCAATTCAGCTGAGAAACAGCTCATTCAGAATGGTATTGAAAACATCTGGATTAAAATTAATTTGATAATTATTTTACATAACCAATTAAAAAGGACAAAGGACAGGACAGGGACAACCTGGGATTTACCTATCTGTAAAAAAATGATAAACTTTATTCTGTTAAGGTTGGTTGGAAACCATCCTTCATCAACAATTTCCCTGACCGAAGTGAATACTTTTTACAAATCCCGCCAAACGTGAAAACTTTGAGATAGAACAGTCCCTGGGGACCGTTTGTGTGCAAAAATGCAAAAAAAGGTCCATGGATAAATGTTATACCAATGTAAAGCTTAATATTTGAAGTTTACAAAAAAATTGGTAGACATGTTAAATCATGGTACGTTTTGAGAAATCCAAAATGGCTGCCAAGATGGCCGCCAAATTATTGAAATAAGTTCTTTTTGTATTTATTTTAGTACATGTGATCTAAAAGCTTCACATCCTATTGGAACAATATGAAAATGGGTCCTTTTCCATTTTCTTATACATATGCTCTTCTTTTCATAGGGAAATTTTGCTAAAAAAGCATGAAAAAGTATCAAAAATCGACACGGGGCTGACATTTTTTCCTACCAGCTAAGGCATACCACATATTACAAAGACCTGATCAACATCTTACTTATTGTACCCTTATTTGCATTTTTATTGTGTGAGAATATGAATTCGGACAATCCTAAATTGGGTGGGGTACGTCCCAATTTCTAGTGAATTGATATACATGTATTACAATTATTAAGACTAAAAATAACGGACAAGATTACATTTTGATATGTTCTTAAGTCTATATGTTTTACAGGTATATTTCCATTCTAACAACATTAATTGGTTATGTTGCCATGGCAACAAAATGATAAAATAAAAGACACCCGGAAAACAAATAAGTCTTGCAGTTACATCATTTTAAGCATGATGTATAATTTAATGTCATGATTATGCATTACAGAATTCAGAATTGGATACATTTACACTGTTGTAATTGAAATGTAACAAAATCTTCTCGAATTTAACAACATTTACTTTCCATGAAGAACACAAATTTGAATAATAACATCAGTAACATTTTGCTGAATCGTTACAGTAAAAATAAAAATTGTTAAAGTTTTTACAGGCAAATGATAATAATGAAATCTACCCAAGAATTCTACAGACAAAAATTGGTGATCATCCATCAGTTAATTCTGTAGAAGAAGATATCTAAAGGTTTTTCTATTTTTAGCTCTAGAGACCCCTAAAAAAGGCCAATCAAATTAATATGAGCAAACTTGATAAAAGACAACCCAAGATGCTACAGACAAAGTTTGGTGATTATCCATCAATTAGTTCTGTAGAAATAGACATTTAAAGGTATTTCTATTTTTAACTTTTGCAACCCCTGAAAGAGGCCAATCAAAATAATATTGACAAACTTGATAAAAAACTACCCAAGAATGTTACAGACAAAGTTTGGTGATCATCCATACATTAGTTCTTTAGAAATAGACATTTAAAGGTATTTCTATTTTTAGCTTTAGAAGCCCCTAAATGGGGCCAGTCAAATCAATTTGAGCAAACTTGATACAACACTACCCGAGAATGTAACGGACAAAGTTTGGTTATCATCCATCAATTAGTTCTGTAGAAGAATATGTTTAAAGGTTTTTCTATTTTTAGCTTTAGCGGCCCCTACAAGGGGCCAATCAAATTCATATGAGCAAACTTGATAAAATACTACCGTAGATTGCTACAGACAAAGTTTGGTGATCATCTATCCATTAGTTTTGTAGAAGAAGATGTCTTAAGGTTTTTATAACCATTCAAATATAACATGTTGTATCACTTTTTTTGTATAGAACATGT